GGAATAGTGATGTTGAAATCACCCATTATTATTAACACCTATTATTGATTACTTACTTATTGTGTTGCTATCAATATCTTCCTTCAGTGTATTAACAGGGTTTTTTTTTTTTAAGTATTTAGCATTTTGCTGATTCATCTTTAGGTGTATACTTGTGTGAGTTCTTGCTGATGTGCATATATCTTGATCATTAACAACTGACCATCGCTGTCTCATAACTTTTCTTAATCTGAAGTTTATATTGTCTGAAACAATTATAATCACTCCAGCCTATTTATTGGAGTTGCTTGATTGTAATAATTTTCTTCCAACCCTTGACTTTGATTTTGTGTTCTCTTACTTTTCAGATGTGTTTTTTTTTTCAGATGTTTCTTACAGGCAGCAGAAAGTTGGTTTCAATTCTCTAATCTATCCTGCCACTATATCTTTTAATCAGTGTACTTATACCATTGCTATTGAATGAGATAATTATGGAGTTTTGTGCCATCTTTGACATGTTTGTAATATTTGTCTTGTCTTTTTATAAAGCCCTTTTAGTACTTTTGCAAAATTGGTTCCACATCTATGAATTTCCATGTTGGTCCTGCAAATTGAATGAAAGTCTGGCTAGGAACAGTATTTTTGCTGAGGTATTCATTACATTGACCCTCCCCCCCCCCACACACACACCTATTTTCCTCAAATGTCTTTGGTCATACAAGGTCTCATTTGATAAATCTGCTGTAAATCTTTTTTTAAAGATAAAATAGGTATTTTTATTTATTTCAGTCTTTTACCAAGTTAGACTCTATTTTTGTAAAAAGAAATACATTGTTTTTGGACCATACCCAGTGGTGATACTTGATGGACTTGAGGACCATATCCACAAGTGGTGCCAGGAATTGAACTAGGTCAACCACATTCAAGCAGATAGGCAAGCACCCTATCTGCTCTACTATTGCTCTGTCCCCAGCTTTTAATTAGTTTATATACCAAACTAGAGTATAAATTCTATGATGTGCTAATATTAAATATTAATTTCATTTTTAGAAAATACAAGTTGGAGTCTAAGATGATTAACATTCTAAAAAATTTTACAAGTTTATCTGAAGAATGGTCTGTAATTCTCTACTTCCAAAGGTGATACATTACTAATAACAACCCAAAATTAAAGTATCCTACATTAGACAAATAGAAATCATTTGATTACATGTTATGTCTTGTTCCTTAACATTTATTACATACTATAATTTGAGTTTAACTTTTCATTTAGGGACTAAAGAGATAGTACAGTGGTTAAGTTGTTGGCCTTGCATGCTCTGCTATAAATCTTCTAGGCACTCCTTTGTATGTAATTTTCATCCTCGATCTTTCCTTCAGTATTCTATATTTGTTTGTGATTTTCATAATACTGATTTCATAAATCTTGAAGTATTTCAGGGGGGTTTTCTTTTAGCTGGTACATTTTGGGCCTCTGGAAACGTGCTCTTCAGCTCTGGTTACTTCCTAGAAGTGATTACCTTGACTATTGCTTCTTCATTAGAGTTGCCTTACTGGCTCTCCAGGACTCCGATGATTCTTATGTTGCTCCTCTTGAATTCATCCCAGAGTTCTTTCATCTGCTATCCTTTTCTTTGGGGCTTTTTTCCACCTTCTGCTATTATCTTGAGGTTTACTGCATCTAATCTTGGAGTCCACTGATTTTATCCTCAGTAGCTCTTACTTTGCTACTAAGGCCTTCTAATGAGTTTTTCATTTCACCTACCAAATTCTTCAGTTCTGTCCTGTCATATTTGCTTATATTTTTCTTTCTCATATTTCTGCTCTCATATCATCATGTTTTATTGATATTTTGTACCATTTTTGCTTTAAGCTTGTTGAATATCCTCAACATTTCCTTTCTAAAATCCTTATTTGAGGAGTTATTTAGCATAAGTAAGTATTGGTTGAATCTTCAGGAGTGCATCGTGGGACTCTGTGCTGCTTTCCTATTGTACCTTTAGCAGGTATTTATTGCTCAACTCCATCTATGTTCACTATTTATCATGGAGGGAGAATTATTGTGGCCATGCATTTCTGGGAGGTCCAAATGGTGCTCCTGGGTGGCTCTCTTTGCTTTGCTCCTGGTCCTTAGGGCCATTCGCTCGGGAATTTAGCAAGGTAGAAATGGTGGTGTGGCTTTACTGCAGATGGGCACTAACCCCCAATACTTCTTGGGTGCAGAAACTGGGTTCAAGGCTATAGCTGAGGAAACACAGCCTTTTGCTGGCTCCAGATTGTTTACAAATAGCACCTAGTTTTTGGGAAAACTCACCTGGGAATTTAGCAGGGTTAAATAGTGGAGTATCTTTCCTGCAGGTGGGCATTAGTGCTAGATGCCTTTCAGTAGTGGGGACTTTTGATTTCCATTCACTACATTTCACTTGACTTACATTTCAGTATCACATTACAAGTGATGTTGAATATATTTTTCATGTGTCTGAGTCATCTATATGTCTTCTTTGTGAAGAATTTTGTATTTTGCTTATTTTCTGATTAGGTTACTTACTTTTTGTTGTTAAAAGGTATGAATTCTTTATATATATTTTGACTATTAACTCATTGAAGGATATCTCAATAGGTTTCTTTCCTTATTTCTCTCTTTCTTCCTTTCTCTTTCTTCCTTTTTTTTTCTTTCTTTCTTGTGCTAGTTTCCTTTGTTCTATAAAACTTTTTAAATTTGATTTAGGCCCATTTATTTCTTCTTCTATTTGTTTCCCTTACAATGGAATTGAGTATATACATCTCTGAGGTTGAGGGCTTAGGTTGTGTAATTAAGGATTTTTTTATGTATTTTATCATTTCTGGTCTAATATTCAAGTATCTAATCTACTTTGAATTGATTTTTCTGTATAGTGTTAAATACTGATTTAGTACTTTAGGGTTTTTTGTTTGTTTGTTTTTGCATGTGGCTATCTAGTATTCTCATTACCATTTGTTGAAGAGGCTTTTCTTTCTCTATTTTTATGATTTTGGCTTCTCTTTGTTGATAAGATTAGATGCTTATCTGTATGTAGATTTATTTGGGCTTCCTACTATGTTTCTTTGGGTTTATATACCTTATTTTTGTTCCAGTACTATACTTTGAAAAATTACTATTTCTTTGTACTATAGTTTATGATGATTCAGGTAGTTTATGATGACACTATTTTTCTTCTTTTGTCTCAGAATTGCTTTGACTCTGAAGTTTTTAGTGGCATCACATAACTTTTAGAATTGTTTTTCCTAAGTCTTTGAAAAATGTAGGTTTTTTTTTAAAAAAATAATAATTACTTTGAAACTGTAGACTTTTCTTGGAAAGATGGCCATTTTGGTATTTATTCTTGAATACAGAATGCATTTGTTTAGTAATGACAATTTTTGGTTTATTGGTTCTTCTCTTTCTTTGTTAGACTTTTTCTCAGGAAGTTTTTTTTAAAGATATTATAAGTGATATTATTTTCTTAACTTCCTTTTCTTTCAAGTCATCAGCATAAAATTGTAACAGATTCAAGTGCATTACTTAGTTATCCTCCACTGACCATTATTTTTTGTTTTTAGTGTCAAAAGTATTTTCACCAATACAGATGTCAAGGAGCTTCCTATCTGTTCTCTTGAGTTTTATTGTTTTAGGCATATAGTCATTCCTTTAATATTTTAGGGATTAGTTTTGTGTCATGTAAGATTGGAGTCCAGTTTCTTTTTCTTTTTGCATGAAAATGTCTGTTTTTATAACACCATTTATGGAAGAATATCCTTTCTCCATTGCTCTTTAGTCACAAATTAGTTGGTCAGATATGAGTAGGTATATATATGGAGTCTCTATCTGACCCATTGATCTCTGACCATTTTTATACTAGCACTACATTGTTTCGTTTTGTTTGTGATATAATTGAAGTATATAATTGAAGTCAGGGAGTTGACTTCCTGACCCTCCAGGACCCAGATCATTCTTATGTTGTTCCTCTTGAATTTATCCTTGAGTTCTTTCATCTATTGTTTGTTTATTTTGAGGCTTTTTTCAGTCTTCTACTGTTGTCTGGAGGATTTATGCATCTCATCAAGAAGTTCACTAATTTTGCCCTCAGCAACTTTTACTTTAATGCTAAGACCTTCAAGCTTTCTTCTTGTTTTCCATAATTGCTTTTACTGTTCAGGGTCTTTTGTGGCTCCACAGAAACTTTAGGAATACTGATTTTATTTATGCAAAAAATTTAATTAAATTCTTAATAGATTTATTGAATCTGTAAATTGTTTTGGTCTTATTTCTATTTGAATGTAACCAAAAATATACAAGCATGCAACATCATTTTGTAGAAAGGTGGCATTTTCCAGCCAAGTAGGAATAAATTTTAATTTTGTCACTTAGCTATAAGTCCTCAGAAAGTACAAGTAAAATTTCTCAACCTCAGTTTTCTGTAAGAAGTAAAGTAAAGTAAAGGCCCTCCCGTTGATCATTGATTTGCTCGAGCGGGCCCAGTAACGTCTCCATTGGAGACTTTGTTGTTACTGTGTCTGGCATATCGAATACATCACGGGGAGCTTGCCAGGCTCTGCCGTGAGGGCGAGATACTCTCGGTAGCTTGCCGGGCTCTCCGAGAGGAGTGGAGGAATCGAACTTGAATCGGCCATGCTGGCTGCGTGCAAGGCAAACGCCCTACCGCTGTGCTATCGCTCCTGTATAAAGCATAAATTATATATATGAAAATATGCACACACGAATGTCTTATACTGTTTTTAGAACTAGCAATAATGTGTATTAAAGCGTATGTTAGATGTTTAATAGGGAGTTAACATCATTGTTTTTTATTTTAATTATCAGCATATAGCCTTTCTATTCTTTAACAATTCAATATTACTAGAGGGAATAATACATTCATCATTATATAACTGTCACCACTTAATAAGTATAAAGAAATATTAATAATAACTATACGTAAAACAGATACTTTAATTATAATTTTCTTTCTTTCAGAATTACTTACTGTCATCTACCTTTCCAGAGTAAATGGCTCTATGTTGGAACAGAAAGAGGAAATACACATATTGTAAATATTGAATCTTTCATTCTTTCTGGATATGTTATCATGTGGAACAAGGCAATTGAACTGTAAGTTTGAATTTGTGTATTCTTAGAGACTTTTAAAAATCTATTATAATATTGCATGTGCCAAAGTTAAACTTTTGAAGTACCACAAGAAATTATGAATTATATTTGTAAAATTTCATAATACTATGACTTAGAAAAGTTATAATTGGAAGTTATCTCATTTCTTCATAATAAACCATAACATAGTAATTTCTATTGGGAATTATAGTAGATCATGATCACATAAATAATATAATAATAATCATTGTTGAGGACAAACTTACAGGCTATCGAATGTAGCCTGCCCACAGGGCAGAGTCTGGCAAACTCCCCGTGGCGTACCAAATATGCCAAATACCAGTAACAATGATGGGTCTCATTCTCCTAAAGAGCCTTGAATATAATCTCAGGGCTAGGATGAAGGAGACGTTACTGGGGCCTGCTCGAGGCAATCGACAAATAACAGGATGATGAAAAAAATGTTGAGGAGAATCACTTATTAATATCTTTCCCTATTATGAGCAAACAATTTGGGTACATCTTTGATGGAAATTTTAATTTTCACTTTAGCACCAGTAATTTGTTTTCTTCACATACAAAATGGGAAATGATGTCCCCAATATGAAAATTGTATTCTGCACTACATATACAAATAGTACTGTGTAATAGGTCAAACTAAAAAACAATTCTTTAACAAATTTTTATGGTATGTATACATTAGATACTTAAATATAAGGTATTTGATTTAAAGTTGACTCATTTTTTTCTCAATTATGGTATATCATATAATTATTCCTTTAAAATTTTATTAAAGCATCCTATTTTGGTGAAACTCTGCTCATCTATTTAAATGATTCTTTTATATATCTACTGTTTCAATATGCATTATGTTAATTAATAGGAAAGGTTGTTACTAGTTTTGGTACAATGTATATGTTCTTATATATATTTGGCTACAAAGATTCTTTTATATTTTGTCTGAAGGAATGAGTCTTCCATTATTTCCCTAGATTTTTTTTTTTGCTTTTGGGGTCACACCCAGCAATACTCAGGGGTTACTCCTGGCTTTGCACTCAGGAATTACTCCTGGCGGTGCTTGGGGGACCATATGGGATGCCAGGGATCGAACCCAGGTTGGCCGCATGCAAGGCAGACGCCCTACCTGCTGTGCTATCGCTCCAGCCCCCTCTTTCTCTAGATTAAGAATTGCTCCAGAGCAGTCTTTATTCTTATTTTTTTCTCTCTCATGCTTAGCATATTTTCATGCTTTTCACAGAGTGGCTACTGAATGAATGTCATTATTGAAAAAATAATATATAAATGGATACAAACCACTGTTGACTTATAGCTTCACTTTATAATAATTGGTATAAACTTATTTGCTCCTTATATTCTTTTTTTCTCTGTGTGTTTTTCAAACTGCAATAGATAATAAAGTCTTAAAATTTTGCTCTTCTTTTTTATCTATTTAAGAAAACCTTTCATTCCTGAAATATTAATCCTATAAAAGTAATAATTTGAACTAAACTTAATGCTTTTTTTATAATATTCTTATGACATTAATGAAAAACGTAGGTATAGATTAGTGAAAATTAACTTATGGAATTTTTATGATTATTTGATATTCATAGAAATAGGTATAGGTATGTTATTTATGTTCAGTAGAATGCTATTAAAGTAATTAAGACTATTATAGAAGCATGAAATATTTAATCATTAACAATATTTTCCATGTTTATATATTTAACAAATTCTTTTTATGGTTAAAATTCTACTACCTGAACTAAATACATATTTTACTATGAGTACTTTGGTCATGTATACTATATTATGATTTCCAGGCTAAATAAATTTGCAAATACAATAGAGTAAAATTAGAAAATTTAATATGAAAAAGGTACTTTTCATTTTTCACAGTCAATCTTATATCTGGGGCTGGAGCTATTAAACAGTGGTAGGGCATTTGCTTTGCGCGCAGCCAGCCCGGCCGAGCTGGGTTCGATTCCTCCACCCCTCTCGGAGAGCCCGGCAAGCTACCGAGAGTATCTCGCCTGCACGTCAAAGCCTGGCAAGCTACCCGTGATGTATTCGATATGTCAAACACAGTAACAGCAAGTCTCAAAATGGAGACGTTACTGGGCCTGCTTGAGCAAATTGATGAACAACGGGAGGACAGTGCTACCATGCTAATCTTATATCTGTGACAGCATTGGAATAAAGTCTATGATTTTTATATGAAACTGTTAATTTTATAGATTTATTTATGCACCTTAAAATATTCCCAAGATATTATTGGTAAACAGCAACACCTCCTAACTCTTTCCTAGTGTACTTTGATCAGATTTCCAAAAATGTATTCTATGAAATAATAGCTGTCTTGTGATAAAATTTTAAATACCAAATTTCAATTTCCCAAGCTTTTTATTTGCCCTCTAATTCTTGAGAATCATTAGAAAATGAATGCCAATTTGCTCCCTTTTTCCCTCCTCATACTTCTCTAAATAGGACGGAAGGATGGAAGGAAGGGAGGGAAGGAGGGAGGGGAGGGGATAGCTCAAGGAGTATTGCATGTTGGAAACCTAGGTTCAATTCACAGCACGTTCTCAGTGCTTGGTCCCCAATTACTGAGATGGGAGTAGTTCCTAGGCATTACCAGATACTACCCCAAAACAAAAAATAAAATAATTTTTGGGATTTACAGAATCTAGAGTATACATATGTTATTTAAAATTTCTTTTTTTATGACCAAAAATTATATAAGGGACACTTGGTGGTTATTGGAATCTTAGTTTTAGGAGAAAATTAGAAAAATACAACATGTTAATAATTGATCTAGTCAATGAAATTATGTGGAAGGACTTTCCTCTTAATTTTTAGTATCTTCCAATTTTTTTACAATACATAGGTATCTTAAAGACTGAAAAAGTAATTTTGAATACCTAAAATTTAATGTAAGATTATTTTCTAAACTTTAGAGTTTAAATATAAAATCTTTCTTATAATCTAGTGTTTCTCAGGTATATTTCAGTGTTCTTTTTCTTAATATAATCAATATAAAAATTCAGCAAACAGTGTTGAATATTTGCAGTGCTTCCTTGTATACTGTAGTTCTTGAAAATACTATAGAAGAAAATAATTGATAGGATTTTACAAACATTTTTAACATGGAACATACTTTTGAAAAGCATTTAACATGTTTGTTAGTTTATCATAGAGCATATTTTTGTATTTGCTGTTCCAATCAAACCCAAGATAACATTGGGGGTTGTGATTTATTAAATAATATAAGCTCACAAAGGATATTTGAAAAACATCCTTATCAGAGACATGCATACTATGTTTATGTAGAAAGGTTACATTGTATCTAAACAGGGAAGAACTGAAAAATGTTGTTAGTTTTTAATTAGGCTTTATATTCTCTTCTTGTATATATTCTAGAATGAAAGTAGTCCCTCTGTTTTCAGTGATCTACAGCAACCACAATACTTACAACATACTGCATTTTTACTATGTTTGGGCATTAATATTACATGCAACGGGCCGGAGCCATAGCACAGTGGGTAGGGCATCTTCATTGCATACAGATGAACCAGGTTCAATTTTTCCGCCCCTCTCGGAGAGCCTGGAAAGCTACCGAGAGTATCTTGCCCGCATGGCAAAGTCTGGCAAGATACCCATGATGTATTTGATTTGTGAAAAACAGTAATAACAAGTCTAACAATGGAGACATTACTGGTACCCACTCAAGCAAATTGATGAACAACGGGAGAACAGTGCTACAGTGCCATTATATGATATACCTATGTTATTTCTTAAATTTATAATTACTGACTAGAAAATGAAGTACTGCTCTTTTAACATTAAAAGGTAAAAGGTAAAGTCCCTCCCGTTGATCGTCGATTTGCTCGAGCGGGCCCAGTAACGTCTCCATTGGAGACTTTGTTGTTACTGTGTCTGGCATATCGAATACTCTCGGTAGCTTGCCGGGCTCTCTGAGAGGGGTGGAGGAATCAAACTCGGGTCGGCCATGTTGGCCGCTTGTAAGGCGAATGCCCTACCCGCTGTGCTATCGCTCCAGCCCTGGATTCCTCCGCCCCTCTCGGAGAGCCCGGCAAACTACCGAGAGTATTCGATATGCCAAACACAGTAACAACAAAGTCTCCAATGGAGACGTTACTGGGCCCGCTCGAGCCTTTTAACATTATTTCTAAATTATATCTAGTTTTCTGGGTCACTGTGGAGAATTAGTATCTGGGGAATTATAATTACTTTATTCCAAAAGCATTCCAAAATATAATCCTCTTTATTATTTTGAACAGTCTTTGATTTTTGCATGTGTTTATTTATTTATTTATTAGTGAAACACCATGAGGTACAGTTGTAGGCTTACAAGTTGTTGTGCTTGGGTTTCAGTTATACAATGATCAAGTACCCATCCCTCTACCAGTGCCCATTCTCCACCCCCACCAATCCCAGTATCCCTCCCACCCCCCACCCCCCATCCCACCATGCCTCTATGGCAGGGCACTCCCTTTTGTTCTATCTCTCCTTTTGGGTGCTGTGGTCTGCAGAAGAGACATTGGGTGGCAATTATGTTCGGTCCATGGACTACTTTCAGCAGGCATCTCCCATCCCGGGCAGATCTTCCCAGCACCCTTTATTTGGTGCTCCCTTCTCTATCTGAGCTGCCTTTACCCCTAGAGTGTGCAGCTGGCCTCTAAGCCATGGAGTGAACAACCTGGTATTTATCACAGCTGTTCTTGGGTGTTAGTCTCTTATTTTGTTACTTTATGTTACCCAGATGAATGCAATCTTTCTATGTCTGTCCCTCTCTTTCTGACTCATTTCGCTTAGCATAATATTTTCCATGTAGTGCCACTTGTATGTAAATTTCATGACTTCATTTTTTCTAACTGCTACATAGTACTCCATTGTGTAGATATACCAAAGTTTCTTTAACCAGTCATCTGTTCTCGGGCACTAAGGTTATTTTCCATATTCTAGTTATTATAAACAGTGCTGCAATGAACAAACAGGTGCAGATGTCCCTTCGACTATACTTTTTAGGCTCTCTGGGGTATATTCCCAGGAGTGGTATTGCTGGGTCAAATGGGAGTTCAATTTCTAATTTTTTGAGAATCGTCCATACTGTTTTCCAAAAGGGTTGAACCAGTCGGCATTCCCACCAGCAGTGAAGGAGGGTCCCTTTCTCACCACATCCGCACCAACAAAGGTTGCTTTTGTTCTTTTGAATGTGGGCCAGTCTCTGTGGTGTGAAGTGATGTCTCATTGTTGTTTTGATCTGCATCTCCCTGATGATTAATGATGTAGAGCATTTTCTCATGTGCCTTTCAGCCATTCGGATTTCTTCTTTGAGAAAAACTCTGTTCATTTCGTTGCCCCACTTTTTGATGGGGTTGGATGATTTCTTCTTGTGGAGTTCAACCAGTACTTTGTATATCCTTGATATCAACCCCTTGTCGGATATGTATTTGGAGAATATCATTTCCCATTCTGTAGATTGTCTCTGTATTTTGGTCACTGTTTCTTTTGAGGTACAGAAGCTTCTTAGTTTAAGATAGTCCCATTTGTCTATCTCTGTTTTCACTTGCTTGGCCAGTGGCGTGACATCTGATTTTTGTGTGTGTTTTGGAATTTATAATTATAATGACATCAATATAACCATAGTGGGATTTATTTATCAGTAAACAAGAGTTTTGTTGTAAATCTAGGAGTTACAATACTTTCTTTTGGAGAAAAATGGGAATTTTATGTGAACAGAAATTTTAAATCTGGTATGTCCTTGGCAGTTGGTTGAAAAGGAGTATAGCGTTAGTCTTGTGACTATAAATTTTCTTTTGGTTGCATAAGTGTAAGTTTTATATTTTTTTGGATTCAAAATATAACAACACATATAAAACAAGGAAGAATCTATTGTTATATAGATTTATATTTATAAACATTATTTGAAAAATATAAGTAACCACTTTATTAGAATTAGAGGAAGAAAATAGTCTTAAAGAAAAACAATTAAAACCTCAACTGAATCTAAGCTAAACAGCAATATATTATGCATATACTCTAGCATAATGTTGTTTACTCTGTTCCTGTTTCTAATGGTTAGGTATTTTAATATTTACACTAATTACTGTTTTGGATTAATTTAACAGATCCACAAAGACTCATCCAGGTCCAGTTGTACATTTAAGTGATAGCCCAAGAGATGAAGGAAAAGTGAGTATTAAAATACCATGGTTCTTGCTCTATTTTCCTATTTTATAAAAATGGATGTTTTAAAATCTATTTTATGTCAAAATTCTAGTTTAGTTCAGTGTAATCGAAAGTTTAAATATTTAGTAAATGAATGAGCACATAAACTTTTCACATTAGTCATGGTACCAAATTATTTAGCTTTCCCTAGTGCTAACATTGATACTTGATGCTTTATTTTTGAGGAAATTATTAACACAAGGAAAACTCTATTTTTCATATATTATATGTTTGAGCTTATTATTATGATAGATATCATTAACCATTGATCTCTGTATTCAATGCTAATTATAATAAATTAAATAATCATAAATTAGTCAATCTCATTTTTAAATAGGCAGTAAAATATAAAACATTATCAATCACATAAGTAATTCTTATTTACTGTCACTGTCACTGCCCTCCCGTTGCTCATCAATTTGCTTGAGTGGGCCCAGTAAGGTCTCCATTGTGAGACTTGTTACTGTATTTGGCATATTGAATACATCACGGGTAGTTAGCCAGGCTTTGCCGTGCGGGTGAGATACTCTCGGTAGCTTGTCAGGATCTCTGACTCTCTGAGAGGGGCAGAGGAATTGAACCCGGGTCAGTCGGGTTGGCCGTGTGCAAGGCAAACGCCCTACCACTGTGCTATTGCAGGTGCCTTGTTAGCGCAGTAGGTAGCGCATCAATCTCATACTTCTTATTTATCTTGACCAGTTTATAATTTTTCTTTTATGAGTAAAAATGTTGATAACTTGAGAAGAAAGTATTTTTCATTAGAAATATTGTGCCTCTGCACTGAAAAGATAGTACAGGGATTAGGGTACTTGCATTGCATGCAGCCAGCCCACATTCAATACCCAGTACCACATTGGTCCCTCAAGCATCAGTAGCAGTAATCCTTGAACACAGTATATAAATACTTAAATTAATTATTTAGTGTAGGTTTGGTTATTGTTACAGTATATAAACTGAATTAAGCTAATAGATAAATATTGGACAAAATACTGTGTACATCATCAGATGCACTTTTTTAAGAAATTGATCTCCTAACCCTTGACTGCTTTCTGCACCTTAGATTTGGAAGCATCAACTTCATGCTATACATCTTGAAGTTATACTAATTATACTTCTACTCTTCTCTTTGATTCTAGATTCAGTTAAAATATCCTCTTAAGGCATATGATTTGACTTTCCTAATAGCTACCAAGGGGAAAGACACAACTCTGAAGATAAAGGGTGTTAGTGTCTCATGGAGGAAGCTTTGGTCGTAATTAGACAAGATACAAAATATATTTATTTTTTCCTTATGGTTGAACTATTAAATCATAGTTTTTCGTTATAAACAATTAGAGACATTCTACAATTCCAAGAAGATATATCTAGTAAATGATTGACTGTCTCTTCTGCATCTCCTCATGTGTGATAATGAATCATATGTTTATTTCTTTGCTTTATTTTTCTTTTGTTTGTTACTGTAACCCTGATATTGGATATCTCAGTGAAACAGCATTTCAACCATGTCTCAGGCTATTTTATTTATACCATTGGTTAAAACATAGTTACCAAATTGTTCTTCATCAGGGATTGAAAACTATAACCTATGGGACTAAAATGGCCTGATTCCTGGCTTTTGTAAAGTGGTTTATTGGAACTCAGCCATATCTATCCATTAACATATTATCTCTTACTACTTTATTACTCTAAGAGTAAAGTTAAAGAAATTTTGACACAGCTATATAGAATTCAGATCCTAAATATTTACTATCTAGTCCTTTACCGAAAATGTTTGCTGGTCCCTGTTGTAGATTATAGACAGTCATGATTTTAGAATTGGATTGTCATCTTGCTAAAACCAGAGAATCCATTTAAGGTGTTAAGTGAAGTAGTATTAAATTATATATATATATTTCCCTCACAATTACTTGAACATCATTCTATGATTAATTTGTATGAGAAACTGTCAGAGGGAAGACATTTGGAGAGCAGATATTGTTGGCGTTTCATTGATAAAGAGCAATGATGATTATAGAGATGGTGAAAACCAAAATACTCCAAAATGGAAGAACTTGTAGAAAAATATATGGTCTCAAGTTGGAAAGTAACCACAAACATGAGGTGGTTGGTTGGATGCTTTTGCAGATGGACAGAGCCCATCTGTCAGAAAGATGCTATTACTCAGATCCGCTAATTTCAAAAATGTATATCTGCTATCTTGGTAAAACAGAAGAACTCAGAATTGTGACATAAATTCTAGTCTCTTAATCTCATACATCTTTCTCTTCTCATAAACTTTAACTCTGAACATAAAAAATGGACCCTGGGATATGTAAGTTCCCATAATTTTCCAACTGACAAAAAAATTCAGTAGAATCTTATGTTCAGTAGCTTTTAGCTTTATTCCACAGAGCCATTCTTTACTCAATGAATTGAGTCAATTAACAATAAAGATCTAGGGTAACTAAAAGTGTGGTCAAATTATGACTAAAATTAGTGAGACTATACTATTTCCATGTGTATCTATAATGATCAACCTCAGAGTGGAACACAGATTGTTATTCACTGTAGCACTGTAGCAATGTCCTCCCATTGTTCATTGATTTGCTTGAGCAGGCATCAGTAACGTCTCACAACAAATTGTGAGACTTGTTACTGTTTTTGGCATATCGAATACCTCACGGGTAGTTTGCCAGGCTTGCCATGCAGGCGAGATACTCTCAGTAGCTTTCCAGGATCTCTGAGAAGGGTGGAGGAATCAAACCCAGGTCGGGCAGCATGCAAGGGAAATGCCCTACCCGCTGTGCTAGCAACAAAATATGTAGAAATATGTATTTTGAGAATAAATACTGATGAGAGATAGAAGTTCCATAGAGGCAGACTGTGGGTGTGAGGCAGGGGGAGATGGGCAGGAGGGAAACTGAGGACATTGGTGACGGGAAATGTACACTGGTGATGGGATGGGTGTTGAAACTGTATGAGACTTGATCATGAACAACTTTGTAACTTTATCTCACAATGATTGAATAAAAAGCAATAAAGACTGAAGAAATAGGTAAACAATGAGTCATAAATTTACAGTATTTTAAAAAGTTTTATTCAGAGGAATATCAAGCTGCACATATTTTGTCACTCTTAAGTTAAAAGCTATTATAATGGAAATAAGAGAAGCATTATATATAATTATACACTTGCTTAAGGTCTAATAAACAAAACATAGTGTAGCCTCACAAGAACAGCTTAAATTTTATTACATTCAGGCTAGTAACCAATATAAGATCTCAGGTCATATCACGGTCTAACAGAAGCATAACTATTCTTTGAAGAAGAAAAAAAGATTACATGTGAAAGAAATAATGTACCTTCCAAAGAAATTTAGTATCTGTACAATACTGTCACCAGATATATAGGAATGCTTTTGAGGGTTTGAAATTGGTGGGAAGCTACATAGATGAGAGTTAATTTCCTTAGGGGCAACAACCCTAATGTGAGATTTAATCTTTTGAAAAATATATTTAAAATCCTGTCACAATCATTTTCAGTTTCAAGATCTGGCTTCTAGAAGCCTATACTCAATTAAAGAATTTAATAAATAAAGTCAAAATAACAGAGTCTTTTAGTATGTACTAGAGAAGGTATAAGGCACAGGGAGATGACATTGTTAAGATGGATATATTATGTGCTGGCAACAGATCTTTTACTGTATTTCCTAGATGGCTCTTAGAGACTTTCCTTCACTCGGACTAAATAGGAGTAGTCTGAAAAGACTACTGAAAGTAGTCTGAAAAGTAGTCTGAAAAGCTATGGCTGGAGCAATAGCACAGTGGTAGGGCGTTTGCCCTACAAGCGGCCAACATGGCTGACCCGAGTTCAATTCCTCTGTCCCTCTCGGAGAGCCTGACAAGCTACCGAGAGTATCTCGCCCGCACAGCAGAGCCTGGCAAGCTACTCATGATGTATTCAATATGCCAAACACAGTAACAACAAGTATCATGATGAGACGTTACTTGGGCCCGCTTGAGCAAATCGATGAACAACGGGAGGAACGTGATACCGTGATACCTGAAAAGACAAGTATTGGCAAATTTTGAGGATGTTTGGTAATGGTTATCTTTTTTGAGCTTTTGTTGACAGAGGAGTGATAGAAGATAAAAAGACTTCATAATATCTTGGGTATTAAGCATTATGGATCAGTATAAGCCAGGTGGCAATATTTAACCATCTGGCAATATGAACATAATTACTATAATAAACAGCAGGAATGAACTGGTAGTAGCTAATATAACATGTTTCCAGGAGCAAAATTATAGGAACTGATGAATGGAATACTGTTTTATTTCTATAATCAGAAAGAAAAGTAGACTCTCTTGTGAAATATCTTTCAACATAGACCAGAAAAATGATAATCAATAAATCTTATGTTTGGGGTGTCTATCCAAAGAGTGGGCTGGAGCCATAGCACAGCAGGCAGGGCGTTTGCCTTGCATGTGGCCGACCTAGATTTGATTCCTCCTTCCCTCTCAGAAAGTCCTGCAAGCTGCCGAGAGTAGCTTGGCAGAGCCTGGCAAGCTTCCCTGGGCATATTCGATATGCCAAAAACAGTAACAAGTCTCACAATGGAGACATTACTGGAGCCCACTTGAGCAAATTGATGAATATTGGGAGGACAGTGCTACAGTGCTATCCAAAGAGTACAAAAAATATAATATGAAATGTAAAAAATGTATGAATACATATTCATTGCAGTGCCTTTTATGATAACCAAAATATAGAAATTACCCAATTTCCTAATGGCAGTTGAATGGATATAAAAATATTTTTTAGCTTTAATAAAAATGGAAATATTTCCTAGTTCAGAGACTATAAAATCCAGCTCCCGGACGAGAATAGTGCAGTCTTCTGCCCCTGTGCCTGGCTGTTCCTCGCCGGGGCCCCTTGGAGGGGAGCGGGTTGAGCTTTCCTCCCCACCCCGACCAGGGCTCTGG